CACTCTTTTGCATTTGACAGTGTGGTGTCAGATGAAAAGGCATGTGCCTTGTATCTTGGATCCAGAAGACAGGCAAGGACTGCACATTTCACCACCTCCACTTTTGCAAACCGTCTGGTGAGACTCTCCAGCATCTCCTGTCTCATTGTTTTAATCCCATGAGAGGAGGGACCTTGGCTGCTGAGCAACATCTTCAGAACTTTGACAGATGGGATGATGCATGACGCTGAACTTTCGTAGTGGCTCATCTCAAGAGTGACCTCTTCCACTGGAGAAAGGGTGTCAATAAGATTACTGACAATATTCTACTGCTCAGCACTCAGGCTAGTGAACCCACCATGCTCACTGGCATATATGTTCAAAGCCCTTTTTTGCTCTAGCATCCTGACCAGCATGTGCAAGGTGGAATTCCATCGGGTTGGCACAGCCTGAATGATGGAATGTGCAGGTAGCCGAAGGTCCTGCTGGATCACTGCTAAACACTGTTTGGCTAGTAAGGAATGATTAAAATGGGTAGCACAGCTTCTCAGCACTGACAGAATATTTTGGACAGCTCTTTGTGAGTTGAGGCCATCATTGACAACAAGCTGTAATATGTGGGCACTGCAGCTCATGTCAGGCAGTTCAGCAATTCTCATACCTTTGACAATGTTAGCACCACTGTCCCTGAGAACAAGAACCACTCTGTCTTTGTCAATTTCCCATTCTTCCAGCATTCCCAAGAACATCTCACTAATGTACTCCCCAGTGTGTGATCCAGTCATTGCTTTTGTGTTTAGAATTACTTGTCTGCGAATCCATTGATCATCAATGAAATGGCATGTGAGACTCATGAGGGATTCAGTTGTACCGGACCAGCAGTCTGTGGTAAAAGCCAAGTTATAACCTGCTTTATCAGGTTTTAGCAGTGCTTTAACCTTCTCAACGATACTGCTGTGAATACTGGGGAAAACCTCTGTTCTGTAGAACTTCTCACTCTTTAGAGTATATCTTGGTTCTGCAGTAGCCATGAGTCTCTGGAAGCCTTTATTTTCAACAAAGTTTAAAGGCTGATTGTCTGTAGCAATCATTTCTGTAATCAGCCTGTCTAGTTTTTTTGAGCAGACATCAGATGTCTTCCACTTTGTCTGTTTATCAAACATCATAGGAAGAGAAGCTTGAATGTGGCTTGATGTATTTTCCTCTTCAGCATCTTTTTTTCTTTGCCTCTTCAAAGATAGTTGAGTGATGTATCTTTAGGCGGGTCCACAGGTTGGAGGTATTTTTTGTTGTTTTAGATTTTGACCCCATGCTCACATTCATTTGGCATTCTTTGCAAACTGCCAGCCCTGGCAATGACTGAGTGAAGTAAGTCCATACTTCACTTTGGTTTTTCCTCTGTTATCTAAAAAAAAAAAAGTGTTGAAAATTAGTAGTCTTTCATGTTAATTTTAATCTTCATATTACAAAAAATAATTGTATTTATAAAAAGCATCAGCAGCAACACTAATGTTAACAATAAGCAAAATAAATGTAGAATGTCTAATGTTTTCAAATGGAGAAAATAAATTAAAGACAGGAGTCATATCAACTTTGCATTTTAAACTACAGTTTTAGTAGATTTATAAACCGTTTAATAGGCTAAAGAGTGAAGAATAATTCACTGGATAATGTTAAATAACTGAATAATATTCTCTGGAATATTGGAACATAACAAACAAAACATCGTATTTTATTGCATTTCTTAACTGGTATGTTATATCAGAATTATTAATAATGTTTTTGTCGTTCTAGATTATGAAATACCTGCTGACAAAGCGCTGTTTATCTGTGCATTTACACAGAACTATACTCAAACAGCAGTCGCTCGCGGAGATAATAAATAATTAATTTCCATAGAGTTGTGTTTACTTGGATGTTTATTAGCGAATTAATGGTTATATAGTAAATGTTTATATAATTACGGTGTTTTAAACAAGTGAATCTTGTTAAAAGTTACATACGGTGGCCATGCTGGAGCATTTCCTGAGCATCAACCACATCAAACCGGTCAGTGAACAGCAATATGAAAGCGGCTTCACGAGACTAATGATGAGCAAATATACAACAGAGAGAGAGAATTAAATTCAGCGCTTTTATTTTCAACTTGTGCTCATTCATGGCTGTATTATTTAATTCATGCAAAGTTACATCTTTATTGGGACAGGACTTGACGGATTATTTTACGTGACTCCGTGAGCTCGTCTCTATTTCTTAGAGACAAGCTGCATAAACTAGCTACATTTCAGGCATTTATGAAACGCATCTAATTTGTGCATTAATGGTTGTGCGTTATGTTAAATAAAGTTTGCTAATTACAGCAAAGCAAGTAAGTATACTTTACCTGTGCATGCCATTGCCTCCCCTCCCCTCAGATGCGCTGTAATGGCGATCCTGCGTGCAATTCTCAAAACACCCACAAGATGGCGGCATTTATCGGTAAATCCAATATTACAAAACCGATATCCGATTATGGTAAAATGCTTAAATATCGGGAAAAATATCTGTAAATCGATATATCGGTCGATCTGTAGAGGAAACCCACCAACATCACATAGTTGAAGTGGTTCTGTACTGAGGAATGGGCTAAAATTCCTACAAGCCGTTGTGCAGGACTGATCAGCAGTTACAAGAAGCATTACTTGCAGTTATTGCTGCAAAAGGGGGTCACACCAGATACTGAAAGCAAAGATTCACATACTTTTGCCACTCACAAATATTTAACACCGGATCATTTTTCTCAATAAATAAATGACAAAGTATATATTTTTGTCTCCTTTGTTTGATTGGATTATCTTTGTCTACTTTCAGGATTTGTGTGAATATCTAATTATGTTTTGGATTATATTTATGCAGAAATATAGAAAATTCTAAAGGGTTTACAAACTTTCAAGCAACACTGTATTTCCAAATTACATAACAAGAACTTTAGTTTTCTTAAGTCGTATATTTTTATATCAAAACAACAGAATTCAAATTACATCCAGTTTATTAGCAACAAAGCACATGAGCTTGAATCACACTATCCTCCTTTAATCTCATACTGTAGGTGGCTGACACACTACAAGATATGACAGCTGTCTGTATCGACTGCACTTACTTCACTTCTCCTCTCACTACAGCCACCTGCTCTTGTCTAAATTCCAGGCAAAGCGAGGTGAATCTCAAACAAGTCCATTCATTGATCAGCATAGACAGTGTCATTGATTTTAGCATTTACGCATGTCTGTTTGTCTGTGACAAGTGGATCTTTTGAAGGGGCATGTGAAAGGGACTTTTATTTGCTCAACTGGACAAGTGGCCTCATTAATAAAAACTAATAAAAGGATGCACTAAAACTTTCGTGAGAAGGATTCGGATTTTATTACATTCAGTGTAAATGGTGACTGATCATGGATAATGTATTGTCAGTAGCATGGTCGTGCCAGATGAAGCTTGTGCAGCCTTACTGTGTGTGAGAGAGACTGTCATGGAGAAATCAAAACGGCACACGCAAAGAAACTCACAGAAGAAATATACTGTGGTGAAAATGTATAAAGTTGGGTTTTTATATTTATTGCATAATAAGCAACAACACATAACCAAGAGTGATGTTTTCTTAAATATCAGCATGACTGCAAATGTGACACCGATTTTATACAAGTTTAACAAACAAGTAGTTAACATAAAGTGACTTACATTTTCGAGATACTGACGGATGAAAATAGTTCCAAAGAAAGATCACTGAAGACTAGTTGCGCATCTGTGAACAACACACAACAGTGTTTTGTTACTGATTGATTCAGCATTTTTGTATGAATCCTGTTAGTCAGAGATTCAATGACCCATACATAAAGTATTTTGCTTCATTCTTGAATTAATCTGAATCATTCATTCAACTGATTCATTCAAATGTCTATGACTCCCTTATTAAGACCTAACATCTACTGGCAGTTTAATTTCATGTGTAAAAGTATCATTGCATTAAAAAAAAAACATTTCATGTTTGTATAATAATTTAAATATTTTAACATGTATAAAACATTTATCTCTCAACATTGCAGTAATTTTGCTAGGCTAGGTAAGTACATTCATGCTACTACCTCTGAGCTTCATAAATGCATCTAAATTACCCTTTCTGTGTTTCTTCTGTAGTGGATTTTGTTGAAACTCATTTCGTTTAATGTGGCAAATACCACAGATATTTATGTTCGAGCTGATAAAACAGTGATGAGAATATTGCTAACAAATAGATGACATTTACAACAACAACAAAAAATCCTGTTTCTTACATACAACTAACTTTTTTACTTGGACAAATTAATGATTGATTTACTTGTCCAAAGGACAAGCACATATCAAGGCTTAATGTTGAGCCCTGGTTGTAGCAATGGTTAGATGCCAAAGCAAGTAATTTTTGCAGAACAGAACAAGAGAAAAACAAAATAATGGTACAGAATAACCATCATATGAAACCCCACTCACCACTACAAATCAATACAAATCTATAGTTTATTTACAGACTCGCACTACACAGAACAATATAATGTGTTTGCAATTCATTACCCTTAATTACCCTTCTTTTAATGAATCTCAGTGCTGAATTTTTCTAATGATCAAAGCCAAGCTCATGCTGCGCTGATTAGAATATGCATCATGAATGCAAATATGCATCAGATTACATGTAATGCCTCTTTCAGTAGCGTAGTGGATATGGGACAGGGGTGTCCAATCCTGCTCCTGGAAGACAGCTGTCCTATAGAGTTTAGCTCTAATCCCAATTAAAGCTAATCAATGTCTTTGGAAAACTTCAAAAACTTCTAGCAGATTTGTTGGGGCAAGTTGGAACTAAACTTTGTAGGACACAGGCCGACCAAAAGCAAGTTTGGACACCCTGGTGTAGGATCTAGCATACATGGATTACATATCTACATGTTTTGATGTTGACTGCTTTGAGCCATTAAACTGGGGGTAACTTTTTTTGGTTTGTTTTTTCACCTTAGACCTGATGGCACTGAAAGAGGAGGGGGAGGTACTGAATGAAATTGAGGAGAAAGATCAGTATGAGAATCTTCATGATTTCATAACCGGAGAAAAATCTTTTTGTTCCTTACAGTCTGGAAAGACTTCCACACGAAAAATAGCTCAAAAGACAGAAACTAGGAATTATTTTGCTTGCTTTCAGTGTGGAAAGACTTTCAATCAACAAGGAAAACTTAACAGGCACATGAAAATTCACAATAGAGAGAAGCCTAACAGATCCCCTCAGTGTGAAGAGAGTTTCAATGAAAATGGAAACCTTGATGTCCACAGCCCTTTTACCTGCCAACAGTGTGGAAACAGTTTCACTAATAAAGGAAGCCTTAACAAGCACATGAGAGTTCACACTGGAGAGAAGCCTTACACATGCAATCAGTGTGGAAAGAGTTTCAGTTTTCATGGAAACCTTAAAGTTCACACGAGAATTCACACTGGAGAGAAGCCTTTCATCTGCAAACAGTGTGGAAAGAGTTTCAGTCAACATGTAAATCTTGAATCTCACATGAGAATTCACACTGGAGAGAAGCCTTTCACCTGCAAACAGTGTGGAAAGAGTTTCAGGCAACCTGGAAATCTTGTTCACCATATGAGAATTCACACTGGAGAGAAGCCTTTCACCTGCAAACAGTGTGGAAAAAGTTTCAGTCAACCTGGAACCCTTAATTACCATATGAGAGTTCACACTGAAAAGAAACCCTTCACCTGCCTTAAAGTCCACAGGCGAATTCACACTATGGAGAGATTTTTTACCTGCCAACAGTGTGGAAACAGTTTTACTCATAAAGGAAGTCTTAACAGGCACATGAGAACTCACACTGAGGAAAAGCCTTACATATGCCCTCAGTGTGGAAAGAGTTTCAGTCAAGAGCGATACCTTGAAATTCACATGAGAATTCACACTAGAGAGAAGTTTCAACCGAAAAGGTAACCTTCAGTGCCACATGAAGATTTACTCAAGAGGGACCTGTTTAAATGTTAAGTGTTGTATGAGTTTTACAGACAAGAAAAGCCAAAGAATCATTCAGAGACATCGGAGGGAAGCCTGTCATGTGCCATCACTGTGGAAAGAGTTCCAGAAACAAAGCAAATCTTGAGTTTCACATAAGCTGGATGATGGCATAACATCTTCCGTATAGCTGCTTTACAGCTGAATCGCATTTTGCAACATTGACATTTGTTATATTTAACAAATAACCCCTAACACCCCTCACCCAACCAACAAGCCAACTATGACTTCCCCCGAAATGCAACTAATGCCTCAAAAAGGCAGAACAGGCCTCTGGTTCCATGGCAACCAAAGACAAATCATCTGATAACACTGGTTTTATTGCTTAAAGGAATGCGGGCAGAGCAACTCTCACTACATTTCCAAGACACATAATGCCCATAGAAAACGACTCTTCTCTGAATAATTCATAGACAAACATTTCTGAGAATGAACACCCATATCCTCAGGTCATTGTGTGTATTATTACTGTTCTTGTATATTGTCTATTGTATTGTATACTGTTTTACACATGCGTTATGATAGAATCACTAGTTAATGTAACCTCACCTATACCATGTTAGGTATCTATGATTTATGTTGATGATCTAAATGAGAGTGTATATTATATGTTGTAATGGAATTCTTTAATACTGTAAATTCTTTAATACATTCTAGGTAAGCAAATTTTGAGAATTGAGAAGGTGACTAAGACTGTTTGACCTTTTCTTGCTAGAAAATAAACTTTCTTTAATGTTTTATAAGAGACCTTGTAACGATCGGCTTTATTGGAAGATGTTATACGTTTGTTAAAATGGGGTCAGAGTATACTGTGCGAGAGCTTTGAGTGTTTAAAAAGATGAGACAGACAACAATGTTAAAAGTGAAAAATCAAATATGTATTTACAATATTCTGTTAAAAGCACAGTCTTTCAGTTCCATACCCTAAAACAATCCTTAAGAAATCCAGCGTGTTGCTAGTCCCAAAGTGAATGTCCCAAAAGTGTCCACTGGTGTATATACAAAAGTCCACTAGTGTTAATCCAAAGTGCTGGAAAAGTAGGTACTCCTTTAAAGCTTTAGAAAAAGTCTCATCAACATCACACACTGTGCTTAGATTTTTCTCCTTAGCTACAGAAACTGGATCTCTCACGTTAGTCTCTTTTAAAGGGTTAGTTCACAAAAATGAAAATTCTGTCATTAATTACTCACCCTCAGGTCGTTCCAAACCCATAAAATCTCAGATTATCTTTGGAACACAAATTAAGATATTTTTTACGGAATCTGAGTGCTCTCTGATCCTCCATAGACAGCAAAAATATTACCACGATCAACGCACAGAAACGTAGCAAGAACATCGGTAAAATAGTCGATGTGACATCAGGGGTTGAACAGCAATTTTAAGAAGCTACAAAAATACTTTTTGTGTGCAAAGAAAACAACTCTGATAACGTTCAGCGAAAGCACGTGCATGCTGAACGTAAACAGCGCTGATTACGTTCTGGGGTACTCGGGCCGTTTCTAGCCAATTTGACGCCCTAGGCGAAATCCCTATTTCTCCAAACTATATATAAAAGCTTTATCAGTGGCGTAAAAGTAACCAATGCAGCTACTTAAACATTTGCTACTCGTTAACACGTTAACGTCCGCTTTAAATAACATGACGCTCTGCCCTCTATGACGCTGCTCCCATTAGTTTGAATCATCAGAGGCAAAACCTTTAAATGAAAACGTACTTACAGACTGTAAGTCAGAACAGCTGGCGACGGGCCGGCGTGAGCTGAGGCGGCGGGGCAGGCGTGAGCTGAGCAGCACTAAGTTGATGTATTTCCTCAGCGACCAGCACGGATCAGCTCCAGGCATGACGAAGCGGATATCGTCCTCTTTTGGAAGACCAAACAAAGTAGTTTCCCTTTCACAACGCAGCACACAGCGTCTTCACGACATGGCGGCAGCAAAAATACTACAGTGAGAATAAAAGTTACGCCTTCTTTCTTTGCGTGAACACTTGGGCGGCGTTATGCAAATCTTCCCACATCGTGATGTAGACATGTGGGGGCGTGTTAGAACGAGCCGTTTTAGGTAGGCGTGGTTAACTCTTAACTTTTATAAAGAATATCTCTTTGGATTTGAGACTTTAGTCTTTGCAACTTTACAGATCTTCCTTATGCACCAAGAGCTTGTAACACTCCAAAGAGAAAGGAAAATTTTAAATCGCATCATATGACCCCTTTAAAGGCCAAGGTCCGAACCAAAGTCCAGGGGCCTGTTTCATAAAACAAGTTTACCTAATAAGCCAGGCTTATTTTAGTTAATCTGACTTATTTTGAACCAAATCAACTGACAATAAGTAAGACTAGCTGAAATAAACCTGGCTTATTTGGTAAACTTGTTTTATGAAACAGGCCCCTGGCCTGGTTGCATGCTGGCCATCGTTTAATTGACCACTTTGAAGAAACCAGGTCAAGCCTCAAAACAAGAACCTCCAGTCACAATTAGCTTCACAAAGTGTACTGTGGTGTGGCTCGCTTATTTTAATGAGTGCATGTTTGACTAAAGTCCAAATGAATTTTAAATTAGATATTTATAATTTTTTGACTGTGATATATTGTATTTAGTATATAGGTGTTATAAGTACTGTTTAGATGTATCCTATTGTTTTAACCCTCTGTGTGATCCTTTCTCAATCGTGTCAGTTAAAATGTAGTTTTATAAAATCATGTTATTTATTATAAAATTAGGGGTGTATCAAGTGGGGGTATGTTACGACCCGCTCGTTTAAAGCCACAACATAAAAGAGGGATCAATCAACAGAATATAATCAATATATTCAGTGAAACCAAGAATAGGAGGCCGAACCTGATGATGCAATTAGCGCGACAACTTCAAACCTCCTCAGGGAAAATGTCGAAAGGTGTCAGGTGGACAGTACAGCAAGAAGAGAAACTTATTGAGTTACAGAGGGAAAAGGAGTGTTTGTATGACGTGTCGTCACCGCTGTATCATGATAGGGCTAAAAAGGATGCGGCTTGGAGAGAGATCGCTCTGGAAATACAAATATCAGGTGAGATACCTCATGACTGTTTGACATACCACTGATTTGTTTAAAATTCTGATATATTTTGTAAGACTTTTATTGACTTTCGTTTTACTTTCTTTCCTTTATTGGAAATGAATAATTTACGTTGTTTTGTAGCATCGGAAGTACAAACACATGCATCGTCGCTGCACACCCAGTTTTCCAATTTGTTGAACACCAAATCAAGCGGAAGTGGCACAAAAGAGCTCACGACTCCAGAGAGCCTCTCCCTGACAGTAATTGCTCTTCTGAGGTCTGTGTCCTGCTTATGTGAGGAGAGACCAAATCCAGCAGATGGTCAAATTCCTGTACATTCATACGGAGGAGATCTCTAAACCCTCGTGTGTCATCACTCTGTGGAACAGAAAAATATTGTATGATTACTGATTTAATTGAAGGTAGAAAAGCGGCAGTAAAGTTAGGTAGCATAATTCAACAGCGAAAAATGCTACCTATCAGATTGTGCTTCCAGCATGATATTATTGTGGTTTGAGGCTTTATTAACACCTACACCTACCCCAAACCTAAACCTAACCTTACAATATAAAGAATACAGTGTTGGTAGCATGATCTGATTGGTAGCATTATTTGTTAGAACACCCCTGTGAGTGAGTGAATGTATGCAAGTTATTCACACATATATTAATTCACCTCTAAAAATAGCAAACAATTCATATGGAGACACTTTTGATGTCATTATTTGTAAAAACAAAAACAAAATATGAACAAACTCAAGTTTACTTAAAGATGATTTATTAAGGGCCAGGATGTTCAACTTCAGTAACAAACTTACCTCAAGTTCTGAATTGGTACTCCATAACGTCCTCTTTTGCCCAGCCATGACTTGCTCCACACACGTCGTCTTCGTTTTTTTCTGTTTTTATTATCAAGGCATGTCGTGAACAAAATTAATGCTACATACTGTTTTTTTGCTGCTAGCTACCATTTTAGAGAGGGAACACTGAACGTGTCACGGATTGATGACGTAAAACTTGTGTGCATTCGTTTTTGATGCGTCTCGACTGTCGTACAGTCTGACATTAAGACAACTGAGATCCTACAGTGTTAAGGCTTGTTCACACCGGGATGAATATTGTGTGCAATTATCGCCGACGTTTAACGCCTCGTGACTAAACAAAGGGAGCCAATGTGAGCGTGCACACCGACGCGCAAAACACGAGGCATAAAAGCGTAATTTTTTTAAAACGCCTTGGGCTCGTTTTTTTTTGTTTGACGCGCCGCGTTAAAAACTGGCCGACCAATGAGATTGGCGCTTTTGTTCACGTGCCTGGAGCTGCTGAAGTTACAGTAAAACACGACTTGGTGGCGCTCAAGCACAAAACAGTCTTGCCGAGCACACATTGATACCTAACGACAAAGAGGAAGTAAGTAGACCAAGAAGATGCATCGAGGCAAGATGAATGTAGAGCTGCTGGTCTCATTGGTGTCTGAACACAAAGGGCTTTATGACAAACGCGACAGTGACTACAAAAATCTCGATAAGAGGGAGTTGTTATGGAGAGAGATTGCAGATCAAATAGGATTCGATGTGTACCGGGGTATTTCTGTTTTTCATTAAGCGCCATCTAATGTCAGGGAGTGAATTTTCACATTCACTCGGCTCATCGCCTGCGAAAATAGCTTGGGTATGAACACAAAAGACGCGTCGAAAAACGTCGGCGATAAGCGCGCACGATAATCGTCCCGGTGTGTACGAGGCTTAAGAATGATTTCTGAAGGATCATGTGACACTGAAGACTGGCTTTGATCACAGGAATAAATTACATTTAAAAATATATTTAAAAATAACCAGTTATATTAATATTTCACAAAATTACTGTTTTTACAGCATTTTTGCAAGAAATAAAAGCAGCCTTTGAGAGCAGAAGAGCCTTCTTTCAAAAGGCCTTAGAATGAAATTGTATATCAGAGAAGAGTGTAACTAACAAAAATCAGCACTATAGAAAATTCAAGGATAGAAAACTAGGGATGCACCGAATGTTCGGCAACCGAATTAAGCGAAAAGACCGAATAAATTGTACCGAACAATGACGTGACGCGATCAAATAGAGGCGCGCGCTAATGCAGCAAACATGACGGCAGTGTGGAAACAGCTGTCCGAGACAGACACAAAAATCATTACAAGCACCGACAACGAGAGACTGTTTAGTGCTGCATCGCATGTCTTCGACGAGAAGAGGAAGAGTGGTTGTTGCTGG